CTCCTCTGCGGCGTCTGCGCCGTGCTGCAGCCTCGCCTCGGGCCGCGCGTGCACGGGCGCGCCGGGAACCGCGCGCGTGCACGCGCGCAGCCGGGAGGCAGACGGCGGCGGCGCCGAGGGCAGCACGGCAGGCTCGCGTCGTGCCCCCTTCGGCGTGGGTCTCGCTGACACCGCGGGGATGCTTCGGCCTCGAATTCACGGGCGAAGAACGGTATAACAGAAACTTTTTCGCCGTCGGGGACACCTGCCCCAGCGCGGCTGGAAAGTTTATACCCTCACGGTGGCACCATAGGGGTATAAACTTTCCAGCCGCCCATGGGCAGGTGTCCCCGACGGCGGAAAAGTTTATTTTATACCGTTCTTCGCTCGCTGAGTGTCCGAAACGTCCGATCGCTCGACATCGACCGCTTCTGGGTCGCCGGCGGCGTTCAACGTTGAGCGCTGGCGGCGGGGCCGCCGCCGGTCCACATGGCGCAGAGCTGCCGCACGAGGGCAGGGCGCGAGCCAAGCTTCTGCCGGGGGGTCCTCTTCCTCCCCAAGGAGTGCCAGCGATGTGCGGCGACTCGCCCAATGACAACCATTCGGTTGCTTGGTTTGATCAGCTTGAATATCCTGCACACTGTGGAGGCTCCTGCTGGACGCGGCGGACGCTGGTGAAAATGTTCGGACGCGAGCACATCGGACACGAACTCTGGACAAGCGAGACAGTTCCTGTACCACCACTGGAGAAGCCTTGGCTCCGCCGTTTGACTCTTAGAGCCCCTGGCTGGTTGGTATGGGCGCCGCCTCAATCGCGACTCGCAGCATCCATTCCCATCTACGGGGGGGCACACTGGGAGAACTGCACCGTGTCCCAGACGGGATTGCAATGGTTCTGACGATAACATGAGCGTTTTCATATTCGGCGTGTCGACATTGGGCGGACAGGGGGGGAGGGGGGGGGGTCTGGCTCCGGACCTCTGCTTAATGCGACTGTTTGCAACAGTGCGTCCTCTGAGGGAGACTCCACCTGCTTGAAACAGGCGCCAAAAACAGCCAAGATCTACTCCAATGGGGGGGGTGCGAGGGCCCGCGCCGATTCGCAAAACAATGAATGAGAAAACGATTGTCGAACAGATCAGGTATCTCAAAAAGCCAAGCATCCAAAGAACGGACGAGATCCGTCGGGGTCGCCAGTGCGGCCAAGACCTCGCACGAAACAGAGCCAACACAAAACCGCAGCAAAAGACATCCCGCACAAGACCTCGCACAAGACCTCTATGACCACTCTTTGAGCTAAAAATAATACACTCGTCCTGCTTGGCTTTGGCCGCTGCTGCCGCCGCTGGGCGGCGGCTGGATTCACAAGTGGAAGATCTAGAGGCCAAAAGCTGGATACACCATGCGGAAGCCCGGCGTCCACGGCCATAGAGAAGGGGCATTGGATAAGGACCAAGCGGAGACCCCGAGAGATCTGTGACCACTTGCTTACCATACCTCGTCAAGGACAGCCGCGTCATGTGTATCGAGGCGTCCTGGCAGTGTTGTCGAAGCCTGAGGCTGCCCTAAGGCCGAGGGGCTAGGTGAAACACTCCCATGGCAACAGGGCCCTGAACAGCAGGAACAGCCTGCCGCGGCCGAGAAACGCGAAAATTATGGGATCCAACCCTGTCTGACCGCTAAACTTCGAATTCCCCGATCAGCGCTTGCAGCGAAGGGCCCCTAGCGAATTCTGAAAGACGAAATAAAGGTATCGGGCCGATTTCGGTATGCCGGGTATCTGGGTTCCTGGGCTCGGGGCCCAGGAGTTCCCGGCACTGTGAGCATATGAGGTTGCAGATGGAAGCAATGGTATTGATCAGTTGCCAGGGAGCAGGATTAAACAGAGAGAAGTGGAGACAGAAATAACAGAGAGAGAGAGTAAAAAAAGAGAGACAAAGAGCGAGAGAGAGAGAGAGTGAGCCAGAGGGAATTCATGAGAAGGAGACAGACACATACCCACATAAACAAAAACAGAGGTACATACAGACAGATAGCCAGAGAGAGAGAGAGTAACAAGAAAAATACACACACACACACATATATATATATATTTCAAACAAAAAGCAGCGACAACACCACCACCACCACCAACAACACGAACAGCGACAACAACAACACCAACAACAAAAACAACAACATGAGAGCTAGTATGAGAGAGAGGGCGAGAAAGAATAAGGGAGATACTGAAACGATTCGAACACCACGTGACCGGGCGCGGGGCTACAGGCCCCACGCGACGCCCACCTTTCTGCGGCGGGAGGCGCCGCAGCTGCGCAGCGGGAGGGGAGAGAGCACGCTCTCCCGTGGCGCGGTCTGCTTTCGGGACTTCGACCGGAGAGCAGGGCAGAGCATGGTGATTCAGGCGTGCCTCCTCCTCCTCCAACCTCCTCCCTCCTCCTCCGTCCTCCTCCTCCTCCTCCTCCTCCTCCTCCTCCTCTTCCTCCTAACACTCCCCCCCTCTCTCCCCCCGCCTCCCCTCCCCCTCCCCCTCCCCCTCCCCCTCCCCTCCCCCCTCCCCCTCCTCCTCCTCCTCCTCCTCCTCCTCCTCCTCCTCCTCCTCCTCCTGTCCTCCTCCTCCTCCTCCTCCTCCTCCTCCTCCCTCGATCGGCAAAAGCCCACGGCGGAAGGAGGCCCCACTATAGCGGCACACGTTGGCATGCGCGCCTCTGGGGCAATTGCGAGAGGGGGCGTCGCGGGATGGCACCCCCGACGCCAACTGGAGGCGCGATCCGTGGAACTCGGGTCGGGCAAAAGGGGGGAATAGCAAAGGGGGGGTTTGAGAACCAGCTCACGTAGCTGATTTTCCCGCGCCTCCCGGCGCCGGAGGCGGCTATGTATCGAGGAATGGGCCCCTCGGCATGCAGCAAATATCGTAACCCTCCCTTTCCCAAACCCCCCCTTTCGCCCGGCCCGAGGAACGCGGTGCCAGGCGTTCTCGCGGGGGGGTGAAACCGACGCTAGCGGCTGCAGTGCTGGCGGTGGGGCCAAAGTCGCGCCTGGACGGCCTCGCGGCAGGGAGCTCCGGGGGGGGGGCAGAGGCAGTGGAGACGCCGAGCGGGTGGCGTCCCAGGCGGATTGGGCTTGGCGGAACTGTGCGAGGGGAGGCACCGACTGTTCCTGGGCGTTACGCAGCCGATGTACGAGGCGCGAGTGGCGTCTTCGACGACCCTCTGGCGCTGCGTGCACGTGGGGCGCGCCCCTCTGCAGATCGCGCACCAAAAGAAAAGGACTGCGTGATTCTGCTTCCCGTGCTCTTCGCGCAGGCGCAGAGTAGGCCCAGCCGCCGCTCGGGCCTCCATGGACTCCTCCGGCTCCTCGATCGCCAACGATTCGGCGAATTGTTGTGTTGATGCGGGTGATATGTGTTACATCGCTGCCCTGCCGCGCACCGCCTCCGCCGCGGGCATGCGCCTCCCAGTCCACCGCGATGGATCCGGGTCAGCGCCGGGCGGCCTCATTCTCGCTCCATACCTGGGCACCGGTGGCGTTCTCCATTCGCCATCCGTCCTCTCGAACTCCACCCTGCCGTTGCACAGCCTAGACGTCTCGTCGGCATCGCTGGGATGCCCCCAATCGCCCTCGTAGGTGGCCCCAATCACGAGCTCCTCCAGCGGCGCCAGGTCGCCGCCAGCTCTCTGTGTCACCAGACTTACACCTTTCACGCAGGCCGCTGAGCCGGGCGACCCCGCGCTCGACAGAACGGAGGGCTCCCCAGTCTGCTTCACGTAGAAGTTGTAGAGCTGCCCCTCGCGGTAGAGCGGCAGCACGTCCACGTCGCCGCAGTGGTTCGATAACTCCTTGCGCGTGCGCCGCATGCCAACGGTCACTGGATGCCCCGTAAAAACCAGAGCACTCCCACTCTGCCAGATGAACGCGTCGTGGCCCTTCCTCACCTCGGGCAGTTAGCCCAGCGGCTCGCGGGCCGCCGCAGCTGCGCCCAAAATGCCTCGATGCCGACCGTGCTCGCCCACGCCAGGGACCCGAACGCGACCGCAATCCGGAGCCGCCTCGCCCGAAGCAGCCCGTAACTCGGCCCCCTGATGGAGTTCCAGGCTGTCGCCGAACTCGGGACTGCGCCCGCGTCGAAGCTGATTCTCGGCCACTCCTCGCCGCCCTGCTGAAGCTGTCAGGCGGCCCGACGGGGCCGCCAGGCAGAAGTTCCACGCCTCAAGCGGCGCCCCTTCTGGAACGCGAAAATGCATCAGGGATCTCGGGTTTGGACCCCAGGCCCCGCAAGCGTTTCAACTTTGATTTTGAGAGTGCCCCGAGAACGCCCCTGAGCCTAGCATCCCAAAGCGGAACGCCAGGGCGCTCGTCATGCTAAGTGTCGGGTTGGGCGCCCGCCACCCCCTGAACACGTGCGCGATTGCAGCTTCGTCGCCGCAGGCGCCGCGAAAGAAAGTCAGCATGCCAGCACGACATGGCGTGGCGCTGAAAGCGCGACGCCCTCACAGGAACACGCCGCCCGCGCGCGCTGGCGCGCGCGGGAAGGGCAAGGCGGCGCGGCCACGCGCGTTCAGCCCAAGTGGGCAACGCCCACGTGGCACGACGACCTCAGCCGAAGTGACCACGAACAACGGGGAGGGAGCGCGGAGGGGGGCGCATGGAGAACCCCATAAGAAAAACTGCGCGGCTCGAGCAGTGTCGCTTGAGAGCCTTCTGTCACAATCGCTTGAATCATCGCCCGACGCGGCTCGAGCCAAAATGGCAACGGACGAGGTGGGGGACGGAGAAAATGAGGACGAGGGAGGGCAGGAGGATGACGACGACGACGACGACGACGACGACGACGACGACGACGACGACGACGACCCGTCTACCTTGCTTTTGACTGCGACAGTGGCCACTTGGATTTTCAGGGCGGGGGCAGTGGCCACATGGCGCCAGCTTGCTCGAGCAAGCTCGGAGCGCCTTGGAAAGCCAAGCATTACCCGAGACGTACCTAACCCCTTCTCCACGCGAGGACTACAGTTGTATGAACGCTCCATACAAAAGAACACATCGCCAGATTTGCACAATCAGCACTGCCCTCATCTCCGCCGTGCCTCCCAGGAGCCCACGAAAGTGGCGCCAGATGCGAGTTTCGTGGCCACCCAAGGAGCTGCGACGTCCTGGCTAGGTCCACGTACTGCCCAACTCCGCCATGCCTCCCGGGAGCCCACGAAAAGGGCGACGGTTGAGCAGTTCGCAGACACCCAGGGAGCAGCGAGGTCTCGGCTGGGCCCGCGTACTCCCCAACTCCGCTGCGCCGTGCATGAGCTCACGAGAGCTGCGACGGTTGCGCACTTCACAGCCACCCAGGGGGCCGCGAGGTCTCCGCTGGGTCTGCGTACTCTTCCCACTCTGCTGGACCTCCCAGGAGCCCACGAAAGTGGCGACAGATGCAGATTTCGCAGCCAACCAGGGAGCTGCGAGGTCTCGGCTGGTCCGCGTACTCCCCCACTCCACTGGGCAGAACTCCCGAGGACTGAGCACCAAAGACCCCCGGCCTCCAAACAAACCTGCCCCCCCCACCACACGCATAGTGCCCTCAACAGACCCCCCTGAGACAGGCACCCAGAACGCCCCGAGCATGAATCAGTCTCCAGACAACCCTTCGCCTACACGTACGACCGGTGGTGCGCCGAAAGAAAAACGAGGGTTCGTCTCCCATTTCTCTCCCGCATCTATCCCCCTCCCTTCTCCCCTGGCCTGGGAGGAGAGAGGGGGAAAGATAGGGGAGAGAGGAAAGGGGGAGACGGGACGACTGCGTCAGAGGAATCAGCACACCACAGCAGAAGGTGATCAGGAGCAACGCACATTGCACATTCCGTCAAAATATTGACTGACGCGTGTTTGGCCTGGCATGTGCGATTTCAAAACAACGGCTAGCAACCAGCCTGCGGCTCTAGCAAACCATCGAGGCAACAGGACACCACACTGTATGATGCTACTCAGCCGTGCTACTTTACCAAATGCTCGCGGATGGCAGTGTCTGCCGTCGTGCCTCAGTGTGTCGCTACATACCCCGGCAGATATTTGAAAGCAGCACGGTAGATGCAGGTCGCAGGCCAATTCCTCGGAGTAAACTCACCTAGCGGCGACAAACACGGAACCAATAGACCCCGACAATCCCGACGAAGACACTCGCCGTCAACACGGTCGCCAAACATAGGTCATGTGTCGAGCCCTCTGCGCAGTCTTTGCTTCCACAGTCCCCTGCCACGCAGCGCGTGTCCACTTGACGGTTCTGCGGCCGTAGAACTTGCCGACCAGTCTGTGCCTCGATCATGCCTGCTGTAATATCCCTTGCCCAGCTCGGCCATCTGCTCATGGGCTCACTTAACTCTGGGGCAAGCTTCAAAGCATAGCGCACCATCGTCTCCGCCGTGTTCATATCTCCCAGCTCAGCCGCTGCGATCCCTCGCATGAAAAGTAGCACTGCTTTCTCGTTCTTTGTGGCCCCAGTCATGTCTGGCACTGGGGGGAGCTGAGGACGTGATGTTCCATCGACGGTAGCTGAAGCCATTTCTCGCATGTAACGTAAAAAGTCCTCTGCACTCTCTACTGCAGGAGCCATCCTTGATTCAAAACGCAACAAGCCCGAAACGCATAACAAACATATACATGACTGCAGCGGAAAGCACTCTGTCTAAATGGCTTGAGCCAGCTGGGTTACGGAGCCTCGGGGTCTCTGTCAAGACAACACTGCCAGGTTGCAACGTGCCGCTCCAGGTCCAGTGGATACAGCGAGTATCTTCTCCAGGAGCTACGGGGGCACAAGTATGCGAAGACACAGGCATTCACTACGCTACCCAACCGAGCTGAACCTGGGCGACAACTCGCCGCCGTTCCGTAAAGCGGCGAACGCCACTAGACCACACGCTCAAGCTGCCCTCAGCCAAGGAACCCAAGGCCATTGTGTTGGACAGGTTCCCATCGAAAGCATTGCACCGACGAGCATCGGTCTTCTCCCCTTGGGGCAGGAGCCCTGAAGGAACACGCGACGGTAAGCCCGTCGTGGCTTCGCACTCGCCCCCCCTCCGCTCCCCGTGCCCCCTCTCCTCCCCCGCCCCCCCCCCCGCCCTCCCCCCAACCTGTTCGAGCAAGAACGGGAAACGCCAATGCTGCTCATTGGGTTTGTGGGGGGGAGGGGGAAAAAGAGAAGGATGAAACTGGCGACAGAGCGGCCATGACGAGGATGGCAGCGTGGATGGCGGGGAGGGCGGCAAGAGGAGCAGGAGGACAACGAGAAGGAAGACAGGCACAAGGGCGAGGAGGAAACAATGGAGGAGGACGAGCACGAAGAGGAATGATGCGGAGGAGGAGGAGGAGGAGAAGGAGGAGGAGGAGGAGGAGGGGGAGGAGGGGGAGGAGGAGGGGGAGGACGACGAAGGAGGACGGAAAGCATCACGAGGAAAAGGACGTCGAAGAGGGAGGGTCCTGGTGATCTTTTGAGGCTAACCCGAGGGCTGTTAAGGCCGGCTGGGCCTCTTGGGGGCCTGTCTGGGTCCTGTTGGGGGCCACTGGGGTCGTCTTGGGCTGTCCGGGCGTGTCTGTCTTAGGGTTCTTCCGGGGCTCTCTCAGGCCGTCTTGGCGCCACCTCGGTCCGTCTTGGGGCTCCCTTGGGCCGCCCGAGGGCCTCCCGGGGCGTTTGCTGTTTCCCTGGAACGCTGACAACTCGGTGAGCTTCCTGCAAACATCGTTCTCGCCAAGGCTCCACCCCAGCAGTTATATTCACCGTGCTGCCCTCCAGGCGCTTGGTGAATCCGAGACGGTCTCCAGGCGCGTGCTGCCCTCCAGGCGCTCTGTGCCGCAATCACCCGGCCAAGGCTCCGCCCCAGCAGAAGCTCGTCGTCATGCATCTCAGTTGTTTGCTTTACACTTGTTTTGAAAGAAACAGACTGAGGCCTGCGACGCTGACTTCGTCCCACAATTCAAAATGTCATTTGGAAGGCACAGCTATCCGTGCGCATGGGGCGCAATCGTCCGGACGTAACATAACGAGAGGCGTGTAATCTGTGACGCGCTCACTCAATTCGATGTGCTGAGGCTTAGCTCAACGACTGAATCCAGTCAATTGGCCCAGTATGCAAATGCGATCATATATACTTATATACACAAGATATAAATGCTCGCTGCGCATCGCCTTCTAATCTTGATCCTTGTACCGACATGTTTGAGTGACTCTGTGGTTAGCATGTTGATGTAGCCGCAGCGCTGCTACAACCCATTCTCGAACCTGACGTTGGGGAGGCTAACCTGGCGCAGCCCCGATTGGCAACAGACCCGACGCGTCCCGTGCAAACCGAACGCCAGGACCTCGCCCAGCACCAAGGGACGGCAGATGCGGTCGAGGAGGCAGTGGAGGAGAAAGACAACGAACTACAGGAGGAAGAAGAGGAGCAGGAGGAGGACAAGCAAGAGGAAGCCTTGGCGTCGGCCCGAAGTGGGGTCTTCCTTGGACCGTCCAGGAGTCTCGTGGGTGCTTGTGGGGAGCTGGTGACAGCAGTGTAGGGTCTGGGGTATGTTTTAGGTCCTCTCGAGATTTCCGTGGGCTCCTGAGACGAGAGGAAAGCTGCGCATCAAATTATGGTTCCCCGGACCCTGGCTGCCTGTCATGGGCCCTCTTTGGGGACCCCTTGGTCTGTCTTGGGACCCTTGGGTGTCTCTGGGGAGCTGGTGAGAACAGTCTCCGGTCTGGGGCCTTTCAGAAGGCAGCCGAGGAGGAAGACAACGAACTACAGGATGAGTAAGAGGAGCAGGAGGAGGAAAAAAGGAGGACGAGGAGGAGGGGGAGGAGGAGGAAGGGGAGGAGGAGGAGGAGGAGGAGGAGGAGGAGGAGGAGGAGGAACAAAAAGGAGAAGGAGAAAAGGATGAGGAGGAGGAGGAGGAGGAGGAGGAGGAGGGGTAGGAGGGGAGGAGATTTCCGAAGAGTTGGTGTTGAGAGTGACATTGGAACCTGCTTGGACTTTCTTGGGAATCTCTTCAGAGACTCGTGAAAGGAGAGGTGATGAAGCTGAAACACTGGGAAGTTAATTAAGTTGGCCTCTGTAGGCCTGATTGAGGATCCGCTTGGGGCCCTTTTCTGGTCATCTAGGCGCCCTCTTGGGCTGTCCTGGAGCTCTCTAGGGCCGTTTTCGGACGACGACGACGACGACGATGACGACAACAACGACGACGACGACGACGACGACGACGACGACGACGACGAACGAACTCGGCGACGGCAAGTGGCCGTCCGGGGTCGTTTGGAACCATCTTGGGAGGCCTTGGAGCGCGCTTGAAGCTGTCCTGGAGGTGTCCGGGGCCTCATGGGAGCATCTGGACAGTTCGTTCGGAGCTCGTGGCAGGTCTGTTGAAGGCCTCCTGGAAGGATTTTGGAAGCCTCTTGGGGCCCGGTTCGGTGACTGTTGGAAGCCGTTTGGAGGCTCTTGGGGACCGTTCGGGAGCTTCTTGGGGGGGCTCGTGGGGGCCTCTAGGAGCCTCTTGATGACCTCCAGGGCCTTTCTCGGGGCCTCCTGGGAGCCTCTTGGGGCCAAAGGCCGAAAAGTCCGTTCGGATCCCCTGTCTGGGCTCTCTCTTGGAGCCGTCTTGGCGTCCTTTTGGGCCGTTTTGGAAGCCTCTTGGGCTGTCTTGGTGCCCGGTTGGGTCATCTTGGGCCTGGGGCGATCTTGGGAGCCTCTTGGGCTGTCTTGGAGCGTCGGAAAGCCGAAAAGGCGAGACCCATAGACCTTCCAGACCTACGGAAACAAAAAACCAACCATGCTTGCCTCTTGGGGGCCTCTAGGGAAGCCTCTTGGACGCCTTTTGGGGCGTCTTGGACGCGACTTGGACCGTATTGGGACAATCTTGGGCGTTGTGGAGCGATCTTTGTGTGCTCGCGGCTCTCTTGGAGGATCTTGGGGGCAGGTCTCTTGGGGGCCTCCTGGAAGCATTCCGGAAGCTCCTTGGGGCTCGGTTCGGTGCCTGTTGGGGGCCGTTTGGGGGGCTCTTGGGGACCGTTCGGGGGCCTCTTGAGAGTCTCGTGGGGGCCTCTGGGGGCCTCTTGGGGACCTCCAGGGCCTTTCTTGGGGCCTCCTGGGGGGCTCTAGGGGCCAAAAAGCCAAAGAAGTCCGCTCGGATCCCCCGTCTGGGCTCTCTCTCTTGGAGCCGTCTCGGGGCCATTTGGGGCCGTTGTGGAAGCCTCTTGGGCTGTCTGGTTGGGTCATCTTGGGCCTGTTTCGGGGGTTTCTTGGACGGTCTCGGGGCGATATTGGGACGCTCTTGGAGCCGTCTTGGGGCCCTTTTGGGCCGTTCTTTTTGTTTTTTGGGGGGACTCGCCCATTTGTTTTGGCGGGGGCCAGGCCCCATGCGCGGAGGCGGACCCAGGCCAGATCCAGACGGTCCAGCGCGAGCCGAGGAGGATGGAGGAGGAGGAGGAGGAGGAGGAGGAGGGAGGAGGAGGATCGAGGAGGATGGAGGAGGAGGAGGAGGAGGAGGAGGAGGTGGAGCGTGCCCAGAAAGGTTCGAATCCTAAACTGGGGAGATCATCAGCCCTCCGCACCGCGGAGAATGAGAGAAGGCGGAAGCCCCGTATATGATAACCTCGCAGAAGCCATCGACCATGATGAGGGTGAGCGCGTACCAGGAGTATGTGAGGAAAGAGCCGGCTCTCCGATCACGAAGATTGCGAAGAAGAGGCAATTGTTGTTAGAGCTCAGTCAGCATCTGGCCCAGGAGGAACTCGGACAGAGAGTCGGCCCAAGAGCTGCTCGAGCCCACTAGCACCCTGCGCACGACTGGCCCCATCATCAGCAACTGGTTCTGCAGCGAGAATATGAGCCAACAAATTATCTTGAAACTCTTCGGCGTCGAACTCTTGGGATATGTGGTCGAAGCGGTCATAATTGATCGGCCTGGCCGCAGGAGTGATGCGTCCAGCGTCTCGGGGAAAGCCTCGTCGATTACCCGCCCGCTTGGATGGGAGAAAATGCAATCCCGCCTCCGGCAGTCCCGACCATACCGGCAAACCAGTACGCCAGGCGGTCCACCACGAGAAGGTCGCTCAGCACGAGCACTCGGCGCAGGGCTACGAGATTGTTGGCGGGACAGCAGTGGTGGAGGCGTCCAGTTTCCTCCCAATAAGCTCCAGCTGCGACTCGATGGAAAGAAAACGACTGTCAAACTCCGCACGTAGATCATCAGTCTGGTCACGATGCTGTGCGCTCAAACTTCCCAGCGCGTCCGAGGAGCAGTCAGGAAGATTGGCCTGGCCACTCCCATCCAACATGTTGCGCCCCTCGAGAGCGGTTAGCCTGGCTTGGAGCGAACACACTTGGTCCGTGACACGGGTAACAAGCCTCTCCATATGCGGGAGCAGGCACTCAGTAACACTCTTAGCGACAGTAGGGACAACCGCATTCATACTGGTTGCAGTACTAGGTGCGATTGAATCTGTCGTGACCTCTTGGAAAACAGACTGGGCCACCACACGCACGTGTCTCGAGGCCTCCTGTTGGAAGAGACCGCGCTCGGACTCCAGGTCGTTGAGTTGTGCTTTGATGGAATCGATCTCTTCCCACACCACAGCAGACCTTGGGGAAGGACCAGAGGAGCAGTCGTCGGTGCTCGCGGAGTCCTCGGAAGTGTCCCTGCGCTGGTCACCTTTCGCGGATGCCGCCGAGGCGTATGAATCAATGATGCCCTGTAGCCTGGCGATCGACTCATTCTGCGTCTCCGCCAGGCCCTGGTATGCAGAGAGCTGAGTATTATACTGGCATTGGGCATGTCCGAGGATGAGTGGAACAACGGCCAGAGGCTCGGTGGACGGCATGGTGAAGGGGGCAGCGTCTCGGTTCAGGGACGCGCCAACACGGCAGCCTGAGCCCGACACGTTGCGGGCATACCTTGGCGCCCGTACCTCTGTAGGGCCACGTCTACCAGGAAATGCAGTAGCCAATTCTTGATCAAGAGTCTCAAAGAAACCATCCTCCCATTGTTGCGTATGATGTTTAACCACTTGATGAGCAATGCCGAGATGCTGTAGGCGCCGCCGTGTGCCCGAGGAAAGGACCCTGCGGTTGGCGTGCGCGGCCATTTGAAGCCCATTGAAATGCTGGTCCGAGTAGTTTGCCAACATCCGCAACGCGCGCCCAGCAACATACGAAAGAATCCCATTCGCGTCGTCCATCTGCAACCCGCAAACACAACTTGCCTCCTGCAGGCGTCGCCGCCATCGAAGGAAGACCGAGAGCAGAAATCAAGAGAGTCAAAACATGCCGAGGCTCGCTTGAGCCGCAAGTCAAAAGATGCCGTCTTGAGCCGCAATGGCTACGGAGGAGGAGGAGGAGGAGGAGGAGGAGGATCGAGGAGGGGCGCTGGTGAGAGAAGGCGAGGTAATGATCTGGCCGGGCAGGGCAGCGCTGCTGCGGGTGGCCGGCGCCTGCGCCCAGGTTGGCCATGGCAAGCTCATGCGCGCTGCGTCGGGCACTCGCGGAGGACCAGACTGGACGCACGATGTACTTTTGAGTCGGGCGTGTCCCCCTACAGGGGGGACTTCCGACGAAGAACAAACGATACTCAACAAATCGTCCAAAATGGCCCAACAATACTCAAAAAAGAGTCCCCATACTATTTTTTGACTCCCTTTGAATATTCCCCCTGAAGAGGGACAAGCCCGGCTTAAATGTACTTGCAAGTCGGCTGTCAAAAGAGTGCGAGACAGTGATCTGGGCAACTTGTTGCCTCAATATGTTTCCATGGTGCAGCGGGGCGTCATTGGGCAACGGCTGTTTGCTGCGTGCGCTGCCGCGGAGGACCATGAGCCAAAGTCGCTCAGGATGCAGTAACGGCGACTGCGCCCAGCTCGGAGCAACGGGCCGTCTTGGAAGTCTCTTGGGCTGTCTTGGGGCCCGTTTGGGCCGTCTTGGGGCTGTCTCGGGGGCCTCTTGGCCGGTCTCAGGGCGATCTGGGGGTTTCTTGGGCTGTCTTGGAGCGTCGGGAAGCCGAAAAGGCGAGACCCAAAGAAACCTTAAAACATCTTCGAAAAAATCCAACGATGTTTGCTTATTGGGGCCCTCTTGGGAAGCCTCCTGGACGCCTCTTTGGGCGTCTTGGAGGCGTCTTGGGCCATATTGGGACTATCTTGGGCGTCGTGGAGCGATCTTTATGCGTCTCGGGGCCCTCTTGGACGATCTTGGGGGCCTCCTGGGGCCGTCTTGGAGACCTCTTGGGCCGTCTTGAGGCCTCTTCGAGGCGCCGGGGGGGGTCTGGTGTTCGTGTGCGGGTGCCGGGGGGGGGGGGGACGGTGGCATGCCGGTTTTTCATGGGTAGAAGGACCATGTGTACATATATGTATATATATGTGTGTATATACATATATATATATACATACATACATACACATACATGCATACATATGTGAATCGATATTTATATCGACATAGAACTAGATAGCCACGTCAGCCCAGGAAAGCCATCCAGGTGCGGACGGCGGAACACTGGAGCCATAGCCGAAGGAATGCGTCCACTCCCCGCTCGCGCACGGCTGGGAGTGGAGGGGGCAGCAGGCGGCCGGCGGTGGTCGCCGCCTGGCGGCCCTTGTTCGGAAAACGTGAGTGGAGGGCACGTGCGCCTTTCCTGGATGCTTGGATAGGCCTACGAGTTCCAGCCCCCCACCTCGCCCATGCGGCGTAATGGCGGAGTGCTTGGAATGACATGCGAACTGACGGGCGGCTTGTGTAGCCAACCCGCGAGCCACATCATATTTTCAAAATCAGAATAACGATTTAGCCGCTAGGTATTCCTATCGATGTGGCGTCGTGTAAATGATGCCACTCTATACAAACAAGATGTTGCAAACCAACGACTTCCTGCGACAGTCCGTATCTGCCACTGCGGAAGAGAACGTCCTGGTGAACCCCTAGGGACGGCCTCCCGCACGTCACGGCACACGACCTCTCTCGGCACTGTAGCTGCGCAGCTGGCCGGACTGCGTCGAGATGTCTCACCCCGCCTCCGGCCTTGGCCCCTCCAGCATCCGTCCCCCTCTGCCAGAAGCTCTCCCGAGCCCCAACGTTGCCCCTGGCTTTGGCGGGTCACGCCTCGCGATCGCCGCGCAGGGGGTGCAGGTGCAGGGAGTTGAGCGACAGCGGCACGCGCACCCTCTCCAGGTCCGTCAGAGCCACGACCAGGAGCGCCCCGCGCACCATCGCCGCCGCGGCTGCGGCTCGGCACCTCGGGGGCAGCTCCAGGGGCACGGCCACCCACTGCCTGCCCACTGGCACCGTCAGCGGGGCCCCGGCCAGCGGCAGCTGCGGGTCGAGGCACCGGATGGTCACCTGGACGAGCTTCGAGGTGAGCGGGGGCGGCGCCGGAGAGGCGGCGGGCTCCGGCAGCTGGAGCCGGTTCGGCACCAGCCCGCCCATGGACACGGCGGCCAGCAGCCGGCCGGCCCTCCAGGCGAAGACGAGCCGCATGGGCAGCGGCGGCCCGAGGGCGGCGGCGCTGAGGCCCAGGAAGGCCGCGAGCTGCTGGGACTCCCGCAGCGGCAACGAGATGGGCGCCGAGAGGCAGAACTCGCCCACCTTCGGCTCGGCCGGGGACATCGCGCTCAGCAGCGCTGCCTCGTCCTGCCACCGTAGAAGGCCGACCACTGGCGCCGCGAAGCCCCTGTGGCGCTGCTTGTGGAGAGCCGAGGCGAGGGAGGCAGCACTCACGGCGCTGGCCAGCTCCTCGATGCCGCTGGCCGAGCCCAGCGGCGCACTGAGGCCCCGAGCTGGGACGGCCTTCCTCAGGACTCGCAGCGCGCGGATCACGCCGGCGTGCTCCTCTCGCTTGAAGCAGGAAGGCTCCAGCCGGAGGAAAGGCGCCTCGGCGATGGCGGCGTGGAGCCAGAAACGGCTGCTTGCCAGCTGCCGCGCCAGGTTGCCATCGCACTGGCAGAGGACGCACAGGTCGTCGAAGGTGAGCGCCCGCAAGAGGTAGTCTAAGAGCAGGCCATCCTCGAGAACCTGCAGTGCTGCGAACCGTCCCATCTCTAACCGCCCCACGCGCTCTTGGCAGGGTGGCGGCAGTCACGCGGAGCTGGAGACTGAGGGCGACGCCTTGAGCCAAAAGGGCTATACGGAGGGCCTCCCGGGGCGCTCTCGGGAGCCTCTCGTCGGGGAGGCGTAACACTCGGGCGCGTGGGACTCGGGTTGGCCTGACGGAGCCATCATGAGAAAGAAGAGACCCAATCTGAAATCCCACGCGAACTCCCGCTGCAAACATCACGGGAGAACTGGGCCGTCAAAACCCAGGAAGGGGCTGGTCAAAAAACGTCGGCAATCCCGAGCTCCAGCGTACTCGAGTATTGGTGCAGGGCGGGGCGTGAGGTCGCCCGGGAGAGGTCCTCCTCCTCCTCCTCCTTCTCCTCCTCTTCCTCCTCCTCATCAGTATCATCAGCAAATGCATCAGCATCATCATCATCATCATCATCATCATCATCATCATCATCATCATCATCATCATCATCATCACCACCACCATCATCATCATCATCACCATCATCATCAACATCACCAGCATCATCATCAGCAGCATCACCACCACCACCATCACCACCTCCACCACCATCATCATCATCATCATCATCATCATCAGCATCACCACTATCATTACCACTATCATCATCAGCATCATCATCATTACCATCACCATCAGCAGCAACATCATCAACATCATCTTCATCATCGTCATGATCATCACCAGCACTATGAGCATCACCATCCTCATCATCATCCTCATTTTCATCCGCATCACCATCACCATGCCCATCACCATCACCATCACCAGCATCAGCATCAGCGTCAGCATCAGCATCATCATTATCATCATCATCACCATCATCATCATTATCGAGGGCGCGCCGCTGGATGTCCCCCCTCTCCCCCCCTTTCCCCGATCCGTCGTCGGGGAACCTCCCCCCCCCTCTCCCGGTCCGTCGTCGGGGACCCCCCCCCTTTTCCCGGACCATCGTCGGGGAACACCCCCCCCCCTTTCAAAAGGGGGGGGGAAAAGGGGGGGGGTCCGACCCCCCCCCCCGCCCCAGATGGGGTCGAAATTCGAGAACCCCCCCCTCCCCGCCCTTTCGCCACGCCGCTCCCTGACTCCAGAGCCCGCCCCCCTCCTGCCCCCCCTAACCCTAATCCTCACCCTAACCCCAGACCCTAAACCCAACCCTTAACCCTAGCCCCAAACAGTACTCGAGATTCTCTACTCACAACCCACTACCCACTACTCACTCACTACTCACTGCTTCCTACTCACTACTCCCTACAACCTACTCACTACTCACTACTCCATACTCACTGCTCACTACTCACTACGCACTACTCAATGCCCACTACTCACTACTCACTACTCACTCCTCCCTAAACACTCTCCACTATTCACTACTCACTGCTCCCTCCTCACTACTCGCTACTCTCTACTCGCTAATCCCTACACAGAACCACTGCTCACGACTTACTAATCACTGCTCGCTACCCCCTTACACGGTAGCCGCTATTCAATATTCAGTACGCACCACCCACTACTAACGACCCACTAGTCACTACTCACTACTCACTACCCCCTAGTCCATACGCAGTACACACTACTCATCCCTACTCACTGCGCACTACCTACTATTCGCTACTCACTACTCAGTACTCACCACTCACTACGCACTACTCACTACTCACTACTCGCTACTCACTACTCGCTACTCGCGCCTCAATACTCCCTACTCACCCCCCAATACTCACTACACACTACTCACTTAGCGCTACTCACAACTTAAAACACCCCAATCACTGGTCACTACTCACCACTCATTACGCACTGCTCGCTACTCACTACTCACCACTCACTACTCACTACCCACTACTCGCCACCCACGTCTCACATCTCCTTGCACACGAGTCACTACTCCCTACTCACTACTCACTACTGACTACTCACTACTCACTACGTGCTACTCCCCACTCGCTACTCACTGCTCACTACTACTACTACTACTACTACTACTACTACTACTGTCTACTCCCTACTGGATATTCACTATCCACTACACACTACTCCCTTCTCACTACTTTCTCCTCGCTACTCCTTACTCGCTATTCACTCCTCACTACCCACTACCCACTACTCACTACTCACTACTGACGACTCACTACTCACTACTCAATACTCACTGTTGACTACCCACAACTCCCTACTCACTACTCGCTACTCGGTACTCGCTACTCAATACTCACTACTCAGCACCCACTACTTACGACCCACTACTCACTACTCACTACTCCCTACTCCGTACTCGCTACACACTACTCACTATTCCCTACTCCATACTCCCTACCCACCTTCTCCAGCGCCGAAAGGAGCAGCGGGAGTGGCCCCCTCCCCGGCTGTCTGTCGGGCGGAAAGCGGGGGAGGGGGGGTGGAGGGGTCGAAAATCTCACACACACACACACCCTTCTCAATTACAGGGTCCTCCAGTGGCGCGCTTTCATCATGATCATCATCATCATCACCAGCATCATCATCACCAGCAGCATCAGCACCGTTGCCATTACCATCAGCATCAGCATCAGCATCATGATACTGATCATGATCATGATCATCCTCATCCTCATCTTCATATGTTCCCTCACCCCCACCCTGACCATCACCATCACCATCACCATCACCGTCACCATCAGCATCAGCATCAACATCAGCATCACCATCATAATCAGCATCATCATCATCAGCATCAGCATCAGAATCATGATAGTGATCATGACCATGATCATGACCATGATCATCCTCATCATCATCCTCATCCTCCCCCTCACCCTCACCCGCATCCATCACCATCACAATCACCATCAATATCACCATCACCATCAGCATCAACAGCAGCATCAGCATCAGCATCATCATCATGATAATGATCATGAGCATGATCATCCTCATCCTCATCCTCATCCTCACACTCACCCTCACCCTCACCCTCACCCTCACCCTCACCATCACCATCACCATCAGCATCAGCGTCAGCATCAGCATCATCATCATCATCATCATCATCTACACCATCATCATCATCAGCATCAGCATCAACATCATGATAATGATCATGATCATGATCATCCTCATCTTCATGCTCACCCTCACCCTCACCCTCAAACATCACCATCACAATCACCATCACTATCACCATCACCATCAGCATCAGCATCAACATCAGCATCAGCATCATCATCATCATCAGCATCATCAGCATCATGATACCAATCATGATCATGATCACCCTCATCCTCATCATCATCCTCACACTCACCCTCACCCTCACCCTCACCATCACCATCACCATCAGCATCAGCATCAGCATCATAATCAGCATCAGCATCGTCATCATCAACACCATCATCATCATCATCATCATCATCATCATCATAAGCATCAGCATCAGCAACATGATAGTGATCATGATCATGATCATGATCGTCGTCATCCTCACCCTCACCCTCATCCTTGCTCCTTATTAGAATTTACCCCAACCTACGTCGTATTCCGGCCGATAGCGACCCAATCCGGGACCCCCCATCCGGACTGTAAGATATCAATACAAAGTGGCGGTTGTTCTTCTCAACATCGTCTTTCTTGTCGTCGACGGTGCGAAAAGCGTGGCAGGAATGGGACGCGGCGCACATCGCGCGCGGCCGTCAATCTGGGCCCGCCCATCCTGACTGTAAAAAATCAATACAAAGTCTTCGTTGTTGCCTCTCAGCATGCCCTGCCTTGTCGCCGACGGTGCGAAATATCTGGCAGCAATGGGACCCGGCGCACATATGGGACGCGGCGCACATCGCGCGCGGCCGTCAATCCGGGCCCGCCCATCCTGACTGCAAAATATCCATACAAAGTCTCCGTTTTTTCCTCTCGCCTACCTTGTCGCCGACGGTGCAAAATATGTGGCTGGAATGGGACGCGGCGCACATCGCGCGCGGACGTCCATGCGGGCCGCGGGCCCTCCCATCCTGACTGTAAAAAACAATGCCGAATTGCCGTTTTTCCTTTCATCATGGCCTGTCTTGTCGTCGACGATGCGATAGGAGTGGCAGGCATGGGGCGCGGCGCACATCGCGCGCGGGCTTCTGGGGCAACCCCAAGGCGGGAGGGGCCACGTTACTTGTCAGAAGCAATGCCATGCTGATTTTCCCTGCCCATATAGCTGTTCTTGTCGCCCACCCCGCAAAAGTGCATGGCAAGAATTGGGCGCGGCACACCCCCCCCGCTCGAAGTGAATGAAATGACCTTCCCGCTTGGGCGCCGAGCGAAATTTTATCAAAGTTGCGCTCCCGCATTGGCTCGGCGCACGTTTTTAACTCGCCAATTCATTGGGCGCCGGGGCGTTCCAGGAGGCCCTGGGGTGACGAATGTCTGGGAGGTTTTTGTTTGTCCAAGCTCTTGGAGGGCCTCCTGAGGCTCCCCGCGGTCTCTTGGCGGCGTCTGCGGCCGTCTGGAAGCCATCTTGGGCGTCTTGGAACGATCTTTCGGCGACTCAAGGCCCCTCGGATCGTCTCGGGGGCGTCTCGGCTCTCTTGGGGCGTTCCTGGGGCGCTCTGGGACCTGGAAGTCAGCGCTCTGGGACCTGCGACACTGAAATGCCCGCGCAGCCCCAGTTGTGCCATCACTGTTTCTTATGTTGTGGGAGGGCGGGTGGGAATGGGCATGCCATGCTTGACTCGCTCGAGCTGGCTAGCTTGACCCTCACCCTCACCCTCACCATCACCATCACCATCACCATCACAATCACCATCACCATCAGCATCAGCATCAGCATCATCATCATCATCATCATCATCATCATCAGCAGCAGCATCAGCATCATAATCATCACCATCATCATCATCATCAGCATCATCATCATCGGGGGGGCAGGTGGCGGCAGTCACCTCAGACATCTGGCGTCTCGAAAAGAGCGGCACGGAGGTGCTTCGTCGTCTTCGGCCTCTCGGGGCCCTCACCGTGGGTCGGGGCCGTCAAAAACGACTCGGGATGAAGAACCAGTCCCGGTCCCGGGGATCTGGTCGAGAGGTCGGGTGCCCGTGAGTCGAGAACATCGACACGCTGGATGTCTGGGACACGGGGGTGGCGCGAGGGGGTGCAGGCTTCTGTATGAAGGCAGGGGGTCTTCTTAGCTCCTCCTCCTCCTCCTCTTCCTCCTCCTCCTCCTCCTCCTCCTGCTCCTCCTCCTGCTCCTCCTCCTCCTCCTCCTCCTCCTCCTCCTCCTCCTCCTCCTCCTCTTCTAAGAAGCCCCCGCTGCCTGCACAGAAGCCCCGCCCCCCCCCCCTTTCGCACAGACCCCGCGCGCGCGCCGCTGGAGAGTGCCTGAGGAGGGCTGGAGGGCGCAGGGGATGGGACGAGGAAGGGCAGGGCGGGGCAGGTACGGCAGGCTGGCCGCTCTTTAGAGGGAGCTGCTGGGAGCCAGGGGGCGACAAATTCTCCAAACTCGTTGAGCGTGAAGGCGCGGCATGAGAGCCGCGCCAGGGCAATGTCGGGGCTAGCCAGGCAGTGTCCCCCGCGAAGCCCCAGCAGGCCCCTGGGTTCCTGGAAGCCGACGATCGCGGCACGCACCTGAGGTGCGTGCCGCGATCGTCGGGCGTCGGCGTCCGAAGCCGCGCGGACCCTTCCGCCCTGCTCGGCCGCGGCTCCCCGATGGCGCAGGGCGCTCGGCAGCGGCAGCTGCTGGACCACTGGCGGCGCTCGGCCTGGAACGCCCGCGCCGGGGCCCCTGCCGCGCCGGCACGACACCCAGTCTGCCGTGCGGGAAGAGAGGGGAGAGAGGGAGGGAGGGGAGGGGAGGCGCAGGAGGAGCGGCGCAGGGGCAAGATCAGTCGGCTAGGATGGGGCTAAGACGAGGACGACGCCGTTCTTGGAGCGCTCCGGAGCGCTCTCCCAGAGCGTTCCGGGGCGCTATGAGAGGCCCGCGGTGCCCGATGCGTCGTCCAGAGCCGCAAGATCTCAGAGATTCTGAGGGGAGGGGAGGGCACGCTTCGAAAATACGTCGCTCCCCGCAGATGCGGATAAGAGTGAGGGGGCGGTGGGGACGTCGGCAGTCTGCGAGACTCTGGAGAAGCCCGCCGCAGGCGCCAAAGTTTCACAAATTATACAACGAGCCCGACGCAGGCGCCGATTTCTTTGATCAAGCAATGTGGGTACGTCGCGGGTGGGTCCGGGAGTGGGTCGCGGGTGGGTCGCAAGTGGGTTGCGGGTGGGTCGCGGGTGGGTCGCGGGGTGGGTCATGGGTCGCGGGGTGGGTCGCGCGTGGGTCGCAAGTGGATCGCGGGTAGGGCGCGGGTGGGTCGCGGGGTGGGTCGCGGGGTGGGTCGCGGGTGGGTCGCGGGGTGGGTCGCGGGTGAGTCGTGGGTGGGTCGAGGGTGGGTCGCGGGGTGGGTCGCGTGTGGGTCGCGGGGTTTGGTCGCGGGTGGGTCGTGGGGTGGGTCGCAGGGTAGGTCGCGGGGGGGACGACGACAACAAGCAACAGCAACGCAACAACGCAACAAGCAGAATCCTCACCACGGATCCCCACTTCAGCCACGCACCCAGGGACATTGAATGACCGTTCGGCCCCCTCACTCTGGTATACACAGACACCCTCCGAAGAGCTTTGCGTGTACCTTCAGGGGGGGCGGCGGTGTGTAAAGTCGCTGGCTGTCAGAGGTGGTTTGCACACCGCCAACCTCCCCTAATGCCCAGGGGAAATCCACTGGAAGGTGTCTATCCATATCTTGTTGCGACGGAGAGGTGCAGAAGGAGCGACGCATGGGCAAAATCAGTCAGCATCGGACCGGGAAATCGGATCTCGAATCGGAATGTGCGTCGGAGCGGGCCGCATCGGCACGGAGTCGACATCGAGTGGGACCGGCCGTGCCAGGGTGCGCAGCAGCGCTGCGGAAGCAAAGGGCCGCAACGGACTGCTGACTATCGGAATCCAGCGGGACCCAGCCGGCCAGAATCGAGAGCGCAGCGGATCGATCGGATCGAAGTGGGCCCTGCGCAGAGGTGGCGCCTTCTTGGCCTTCTTCTCCTTCTTCTCCTTCTTCTCCTTCTTGTCCTTCTTCCGCTTCTTCTGCCGCTCCTCTGGCCAAGAGGGGGCGGCGCGGCCGCCCAGGCGGACCGGGCAGAGAGATGCGCCCGTACGCCCCAGGGGTGGGGAGCAGGAAGGACAGAAGTTGTGGTTGTAAACTTGCGTGTTGACGTGCTTTACGTGTTTGTATCCCGAGGCTTTGCCTCCTCCTGGCCTTGACGTGAAGCCTCTCCTTCTGTCCTCCGCTCTTTATTAATTCAAGCTTCGCTCGGCCCGCTTAGCTTCGACCGGAAGAGGCTCGCTCTCGACCCGCGGATCAAAAGTGTTTTACGTGTTTGTTGCATGCTGGCTACACACATGCATCAAGGCAGGAAGGACGGAAGTTGGAGCGAGAGGGCAGAACATCTCCCATCCAGCGTTTTGAGAGAAACTCAACACACACCTCAACAAATCATAATATACATAGATACATATATTACTATATATATATGTATACAAGACTGCATTGGCGCTTCGCGCCATGCACCTTGGTCCTTGAAGTTTGGTGTGCAGGCGGAATAGCAGGAAGGTCAAGCCGACAATGTAGCGATAACTGCTTGTTGCCTTTTCCGGCATCGCCGCTATAATAATGTTATTCGTTATCCTTCCTCCATGCCTCTTTTTCCTCATGTTCGCCATATCCTGCGCATTCTCCCTATCCTCCTCAGCTTTTTCTTGCGGAGGCTCCTCCTGGGAGCGCCTCTGGGGGCCTAAAAAGATGGTTTGAGGCTTTCTTAAGGCCTTCTGGAGGCCTCCTGGGCGTATTCTGGGGGCCTCTGGGGGCTTCCTCGGGCCATCCTGCCTCCAACCACGGTCTCCCTGAACGACCGGGTCACGATTTGGAATGCTTCGGAGGGTGTCTTGAGGCCATCTTGGGCCGCCATGGGGCTCTCTGAGGGCCATCTTGGACCCGTGTTGTGCCGTTTTGGGGCTCTCTCGGACTGCCCGGAAGTCCTTTCGGATGTTTGTGGAGCGATTTGGGAGCCTCCCAGGCGGCTTCGGACGCCCCGAAGACCGCCGTCTTGGAGCGTCGGGAAGCCGAAAAAAGGAGAACCCCCAAATTCACCAAAAACTAACGGAAAATCCGCCGACCCTGTCGGCGTGTGGAAGACGCATCCCGGTGTCGTGGTCTTGCGTGGATCACCGTCGTCGTCGTCGTCGTCGTCGTCTCCGTCGTGTCCTCGTCGTCTCCGTCTCCGTTGTCCCTCGTCGTCTTCGTCGTTCCCCGTCTCCTTGAGCGCGCGAGCCAAAGCGACATTGAGCAACGTCGTAGTTGAGTCGTGGCGAAGCCCCTCCCTACCCTCCCCGCCGGGGGGGGGGGGGTGGGGGGGGGGGGTCGCCGGGGGGGGTCGCCACCCAGATACGCATCCTCCCCGGGGGGTCCCGGAGCTCAGAAAAGCTTCAAGACGAGCCAAGAGCGACAGAAGACACCCCCAAAAGGGTACAAGAGGGCCTCGACTCGACGAACGATGGCCCCAAGACGCCCAAGACGGCCCGAAGACGGCCCAAGAGGCCCTCAAGACGCTCCAAGAGAGCCCCAAGAGCACACCCAAGAGGGCCCCAGGCGCCAAAATCGTCAATTTTACATCGGTTTTTGAATGATTTTGGCCTTCTCGCCTTTTCGGCTTTCCGACACTCCAAGACGGCCCAAGAGGCCCCCAAGAGGCCCCCAAGAGCGCCCCAAGAGGCCTACAAGAGGGCCCCAAGACGGCCCAAGAAGGCCCCAGGACAGCCTAAGAGGCGCCCAAGACGGCCCAATAGGGCCCCAAGACGGGCCCAAGAAACGGCCAAGAGGGGGACGAGGAACCGAGAATTCGAGACTTCCGCCCTAAGAGGCCCCCGGGAAGCCCCAAGAGGCCCCCAAAAGGCCCCAAGAGGCCCCCGAGCGGCGCCAAGACGCCCCCAAGATGCGCCGAAGACGGCCTCCGGAAGCCCCAAGAGGCCCAAAAGAGGCCCCAAGAGGCCCCACAACGGCCCCCAAGAGGCTTCAAGTTGCCTTCCAGACGCCCCCGAGAGGTCAACCACGAGATCCCAACCAACATCCATAAGGCCTCCTCCTCCTCCCCCTTCACCCTTCCTCCTCCTACTCCCTTCCGCCTCCTCCTCCTCCTCCTCCTCCTCCTCCTCCTGCCCCCCCCCTCGTGTTGTCTTTCGTCATCTTCAGGGTCGGCGGCAACGGCCGTAAGGCCTTCGCAATCCATGATTTTTGCCTCTTGAGAGTGCTCTTGGAGGCCTCTTTGGGGCCGTCCTGGAGGCCTCTTGGGCCATCTTGAGGTTACGTCGGTCACTCTTGGAGCGCTCTTGCGCTGTCATGGGGGTCTCTGAGTCGTCTCCGATGATCCCCCTGATCGCCCTAGGTGTGCTGGGAAGGCTTGGCAAAACGCCCTGCGAGGCCAGGGGGGCCGCTTCGAGGCCCGTCCGGAGGGTCCCAAAGCCCCAGATCCCAGGAGTCCGGTTTTGGGGGGGGGGGTGACGGGTTTTCCCCCCGCCCGGGCTTTCAAAAAAATAGGAAGAGGAATAGACATATGAGAAAGGTGTGTTAATATATCATAGATGTGTTATAATATATATATATATATATATAATATATATATATATACATATATTTTAATAATAATAATAATAATAATAATAATAATAATAATAATAATAATAGTATTATTATTAATAATAATAGTAATCACAATTATAATAATAATAATAGTAAGAAGAATGATAATAATAATAATAATAATAGTAATACCAATACTAATAATATTAATGATTCGAATAATAATAATAATAATAAGAAGAAGAAGAATGATGATAACAATAATATATATATATATATATACTAAAATATAATATAAAGAATGGTGTTTTGCCGCTTTCGCCCTCCTGGGGCGTCTCAGCGGGCCCTGGGACCGCCAAGTGCGCCCCGCGAAGGGGCCACAACCCTGTTCGGCGGCGCAGGGCGTGGGCCTGGCGTCGTGCACTGCGCACCGCCACAGGGCAGCACGGATAGGCGGCCCGCGGGGCATGCACGCACAGGCATGCTTTGAGCTCCCTGCGGAGCCGCAAAGCTCCTCCGCCTCCGCCTCCGCCTCCGCCTCCGCCTCCGCCTCCGCCTCCTCCTCCTCCTCCTCCTCCTCCTCCTCCTCCTCCTCCTCCTCCTCCTCCTCCTCTTCCTCCTGTGCCGACCTGGAGGCGGTGCCGCCATGCAGATCCTGTCACACGGGCCGTCCGCGGAGCTCCGAGCTCCCTGTGGGGCACGATCCTTCCGAGGGCTGTGCAGAAAAACGGGCGTCGCCCTGCCCCGCGCCCCAGAGGCCCTCCAACGGCCCCAAGAAACCACCGAGAGGCCCGGGTTATTGAACACGAATGGCGCGGTGTTGCTATGCCCCTCGGAATTGGAACGTCGCGCTGCCTTGTGCTGACACGCGGAGAGTGCCCAGTGTCCTCGTGGACATTCGCATGCTCGCCAAAAACTGCAACGGGGAGGGGGCGCATCTGCCACCGTGGCGCTGGCAACGCCCAGGGGCGGGCAGAACGCCTCGGCAGACCAGCGCGGCAGACGAGCAGGGCAGAAACCACCCAACGCCCAGTCTTTACGTGCTCCGGACGTGCACCCCGCGAAGCGCGAGGAATCTACGTCTGGAAGGCACGTGTTACCGGATGCAGGTCCGCGGATGCTGCAACGCAACGTACCCAATGAATCCATGATTTGCACGATTTCTACATGTTGCATTGTTTTGCCCAGGATTGCAGAATTCCGAAATACTATACGATTTCACATTATTATGTAGCCCCCTACCTAACCCGCCCTGGGGTCGCGCCACATCGGCGGACCAAGATGCCCCTCCCTTCCGGAGCTCATAAACGTACCGAAACGCATGCAACATTTAAAATATCGGCCTCTTGGGCCTCCTGGTGGCCCAGAAGCGCCTCAAGACGGCTAAAGATGGCCCCAAGACGGCCCAAGATGGCCCCAAGACGGCCTAAGAAGGCCCCAAGACGGCCCAAGAGGCCCCCCGATACGGCCCCAGGGCTCTCAGGGGGGGGCCCAAGAGCACCTCGAGAGGCCAAAAGCATAGAGCTTCTTTCGGGTTTATATGGTCTTCGCTTTCTCACACTTTTCGACTCTCGGAAGCCTATGACGGCAAGCAGCGTCCAAGATGGCCCCAAGACGGCCCCAGAGGCCCCCAAGGGGGTCCCGAGACGGCTCAAGAAGGCCCCGAGATGACCCAGAGAAGCCCCCAAGACGGCTCAAGAGGCCCCCAAGATTGCCCAGGAGGACCCCAAAAGAGCTACAAGGCGGCCCCGAAAGGCCCCCAAGACGGCCTCCGAAGGGAGGACCAGACGTCGCAAGAGCGCCCCAAGACGACCCAAGAGCCTCCCAGCCTCCAAGAGCCCCTTCATGGGCCCCCCAAAAAAGTCTCCAAGAGGCCATCAAGAAGCCCCCGAACGGCCCAAAGAAATCGCCAAGTGGCCCGCGGAATTGTCCACGAATGGCACGTTGTTGCTGTGATCATCGGAGTTCGAACTTGGCGCTGATTTGTGCTGATGCACTGAGAAATGCTCGTTGCCCTCGTGGACTTTCGCACACGAGGAGGAGGAGGAGGAGGAGGAGGAGGAGGAGGAGGAGGAGGAGGAGGAGGAGGAGGAGGAGGAGAGGAGGAGTAGAGAGGAGGAGGAGGAGGAGGGAGGAGGAGGCGCAGGAGGAGGAGGCGGAGGAGGCGGAGGAGGTCGCTCGAGCGCTGAAGCGGGGAGAGGGGGGCGCATCGGCCCCCCGTGGCGCTGGCAGCGCCCCAGGGCGGACAGGGCAACACGGGAGAGAACAGCGCGGGTGACGAGCAGGGCAGAAACCACCCGACGCCCAGCCCCAACGCGCTCCAGACGTTCACCCCGCGGGGCGAGAGGCATCACGATCGGGGCCCCCGATGCTGTCGTGCCGTGGCATCCCTCGAGCCAGATCCGTTGTCGGGGGGCCCGACGCCGGACGGGCACACCGAGTGCGGGAAAAAATGCGACGCCCGGATCTCAGAGCTCGGTCGTGGCGAACGGCGCCGATCACAGATTTCCGAAGAGGCCCAGGGACACACACACACACACACACACGCACACACACACACACACGCACACAAACACACAAGCAGACAAGCACATACACACACACACACACACATATATATATATATACACACCTGCATATACATATACATATGTGTATATGCAAGACTGCATTGGCGCTTCGCACCATGCACCTTGGTCCTTGAAGGTTGGTGTGCAGGCGGAATAGCGGGAAGGTCCAGCCGACAATTTAGCGATAACTCCTTGTTGCCTTTTCCGGCATCGCCGCTATAATAATGTTTTTCGTTATCCTTCCTCCGTGCTTCTTTTTCTTCATTTTCGCCATACCCTGCGCATTCTCCGCATCCTCCGCAGCTCTTTTTTGCGGAGGCTCCTTCTTGGAGAGCCTCTAGGGGCCTCACAAAAATTGTTTCAGGCTTTCTTAAAGCCTCCTGGGCGTATTCTGGGGGCTTCTGGGGGCTTCCTCGGGCCACCCTGCCTCCAACCGCGGTCTCCCTGAACGACCGGGTCACGATTTGGAATGCTTCGGAGGGTGTCTTGGGGCCATCTTGGGCCGCCATGGGGTTCTCTGAGGGCCATCTTGGACCCGTGTTGTGCCGTTTTGGGGCTCTCTTGGACTGCCCGGAAGCCCTTTCGGATGGTTGTGGGGCGATTTTGGAGCCTCCCAGGCGGCTTCGGACGCCCAGAAGACCGCCGTCTTGGAGCGTCGGGAAGCCGAAAAGAGGAGAACCCCCAAATGCTCTTGGAGGTCTCTTTGGGACCGTCCTGGAGGCCTCTTGGGCCATCTGGAGGCCACGTGGGTCACTCTTGGAGCGCTCTTGTGCTGCCTTGGGGGTCTCTGGGACGTCTCCGATGACCCCCCTGACCGCCTTAGGTGTGCTGGGAAGGCTTGGCAAAACGCCCTGCGAGGCCCAGGGGGCCGCTTCGAGGCCCGCCCCAGATCCCGGGAGTCAAGTTTTTTTTTGGGGGGGACCCCTTTCGCGTTCCGCCCGGATTGTAAAAATATATCAGAGGGAATATTGATGTGTGTAAACTGTACCCAGGATTCCGCATATGTCGAATATGTTCTGGATGTTCGTCTTCCCCTCCTCTTGTTTGATTTCCCATATCTTCGTGGAAATCGAAGATTCTACGTGTGTGTGTGTGCGTGTGTCTTCGTGGAAATCGAGGATACTCTATGCACCGACGCTTGTTCTGGCCACGCACTGAAACTCGCACAGGAAAGCAGATCCTGGTATATACGGGATCCTGCTGTATACATGTTTTGTTGTTCCCCTGGAAAACGGAGAAACTGCATACATCACACAACCCCGACGTCGCCCCCGACCCTCAAAAGGTTCTGGGATTGAAAAACAACCCACCACTGGAAATGGATATGCTCCAGTTTCCGATCATGCCCCCCAGCCGACGCTCCTGGAGGCCCGACTCCGAGCCCTCTGCGCCAGCTGCATCGCCGCCGCCGGTATCGACAGCGCGCATGGCCCTCCGCGCCTGGCGGCCGCTGCTCGCCAGAGGAAGTTCTGCCAAGCGCAAAGGAGGGCCCTCAAGGCAAGAAGCTGGTCGGGGGGACGTACAGGAGGGAGGAGGTTAGTTGGTTGGTTGGTGTCCCCCCAGCGAGGCGACATTGCGGGGGCGCGGGCACGGCCTCTTTAGCAGAGGGCAGCAGGGCCGAAGGACGGCGACCGCCGCAACCCCGCAGCGCCCGCTCAGGGGAAGAGAAGGCACCGCCTGCGGGGCTAGAGGAAGAGGGGGAGGACAGGGGGCGGACCGAGGAACGCCCGACTGAGCCTGGCCCCGCGCTTCCCCTAGGTCCACGGAAGAGGAGCCGATCCTTGACCCTGGAAGCGAACGCGATGGAGAAATGGGGAAGGCCCGGGGAGGGGGGCCTAGCGGCAACTCCCTCCCACGGGGACCCCCGCCCGTACTCCCAGCCGCCTCGTGTCAGCGCAGGACGCAGCTGCGAGACTGAGAGAATGGAGGGAGAGGGGGTCACCCAGGAGGAGCAGAGATTTGTACTACGGCTCCCGGTGGCCTGGCCCAGAATGACGCCTCCTCCTTTTCTAAGAAACTTGCCAGCGCGGCCGCCTCTGCGTAGCCAGCCTCCCCTGGTCGCGAGCTCAGTATCGCCCTTGTGCTGGCCTCCCGCTTAGGCAGAGCGTCCGCTTGGCGAGCACGCCAGTAGGCCTGCCGCATGGCCTCAGTCCGCTCGCATGCTGCAAGTACGTGGAAAGTGGGGCTGTGTGTGAGGACCCCGCGGCAGATGCAACACTGGCGATGAGCCCAACTTGATAGTATCGGGGATGGACAGACCCCCCTTTCGTAAAACGTGGTCTGGTGAAAACGACCCGAGGCCCAAACCTGGCGGGCGCGAGCCTGGAAAATGACGGCCACGGCGCCCTCTCGAGAACCGAAAACGGACAGTTCACTCATCGACGTGTCACTGTCGGGGGCTCTGTCCGCCCCCGACCCAAGGGGGGGCGGCCGCGAAGAGAAGGGCCGGCAAAACTCCGGCGGGAGCCTACACGGAGGCTCGGGCCAAGAAGGGCTGCACGGCCAGTGGCAGGGCATCGGAGGGAGCGGCGTGGGGTCGGGCGTGTCCTCCTGCAGGCGGCTTTGGGACAGGCGATAGAAAATAGTCAACAAATGTTCACACATAATGCGGGGTGGGAAAAATGTCAACAAATGTTACACTGTTGGGGGCTCTGTCCACCCCCGATAGCAGTGGGTGCCCACGCTCACCGAGATATGGGCATCCAGTCTCCGGGAGGCTCCCACAGGTCTCAGGCGTTCCGCTCGAGCAGGGGCCCGCCGTCAGGGGCCCGGGGAGGCAGGGAGGGAGGGAGGGAGGGAGGGAGGGAGGGAAGGGGGAGGGGGGAGGGAGGGTGGGAGGGAGGGAGGGAGGGAGGAGGGGGCGAGGAGGGAGGGAGGGAGGGCGGGGAGGGAGGGAGGGAGGGAGGGAGGGCGGAGGGAGCAGGGCGGGGGGGGGGGAAGGTGAAAGGGCGAGGGGGGAGGGGCCGGAGCGAAGAGGCCCGAGTGAGGAGAGGCATGCGAACGGGTGGAGGCACGGGTGGGCCGTGCGGTGTCGGCGCGCGTAAATGTTTTTGACACCGCGTCGATCGTTCGACCTTGAACCGAGGGCGGCCCCGATCGTGAAGGGTTGGAGACCGTCGGGTCCTGTGGCGTTGCCGTGCTCCTGTGATCCCGCGTCGCTCTATCATCCAGAGTTTAACCTTGAACGGCTTCGCTTGCGTCGCCGGCGCGCCATCGCCGCATGAACCCACCGTAAGGGGCAGAGGTGGGGCTTCAGGAAAATCGCAAAAAAGCGGCCCGCTTAAGAAGAATACTGTGAACACTCACCCTGGGTATGCTCCATGGCCTCACTTCAGAATGACCCCCGCTCCACGGACCCCCGAGCCGGAAGCACTCGTGGCTGGGCTCACGTGAGGCCGCGCGCTGGGTACACGCGCGGGAGGCCGGCCTGCAGGGGCCACGGGAGAGCCGAGCTCTGGAGAGGCATATGGCCACACGTATGCCCAGCTCTAGCCTGGGCCAGCCGCGCCATCGCTGCTGAGGTGGGTCAAGGGGGGGGACCTGCTCGTCTAGGAGGGCATCGGGCTGGAAGCGGCGATGCGTCGCCGTCGGCTGAAGCGGCCCGAAAACAACACCGCGCGTCCCTGGGCGGAGTGGGCTGTCGGGACCCAAGCGGCGCCGAGTGGGCGATCGGGGGTCGATGGGCTCCCCCTGGGACTCTCCCCCGTAGGGTTGCCCCTGAGGTGTGCCCAGCTTCCTGGCACGCGAAGAGTGGCCTTGGGCTCGCGGCCCGCCGATCGCGGCATGCGGCGCGGCAAAGGCGGCCCCCGCCTGCTCGAGCTGGGCCCCCCTCCGCTTTCAAGGGCAGCTGTGACTGCCACGTGCCCTCGCAGAGGGCCCCGCAGCCCCTGAGGTCCAACCGCCGAACTTGTTCACACCAGCCCACCTCCTCCTCCTCCTCCTCCTCCTCCTCCTCCTCCTCATCCTCATCCTCCTCCTCCTCCTCCGCCTCCTCCTCCCTCCTCCTCCTCCTCCTCCTCTCCTCCCCTCCTCCTCCTCCTCCTCCTCCTCCGTCCTCCTCCTCCTCCCCTCCCCTCCTCCTCCTCCTCCTCCTCCTCATCCACGCTCCTCCTCCTAGGCGACGCGTCCAGTTCTCTACCCTCGTCCCCTCTTTCTGCTCCTCACCTCCTGCTCCTCCCTTCTCCTCCTCCTCCTCCTCCTCCTCACTCCTCCTCCTCTCACTCCTCCTCCTCCCTCCTCCTCCTCCTGCGACGTTCCTGTTCCCTACCTCCCTCCTCTGTCTCCTTCCTCCTTACCCCTCCTGCGCCTCCTCCCCTTCCTGCTCCTCCTCCCTTCCTCTCCTCCTCCTCCTCCTCCCCTCCTCCTCCTCCCCTCCTCCTCCTCCTCCCCCTCCTCCTCCCTCCTCCTCCTCCTCTTCCTCCTCCTCCTCCTCCCCTCCTCCTCCTCCTCCTCCCTCCCTCCGCCTCCTCCTCCCCTCCTCCTCCTCCTCCTCCTTTCTCCTCCTCCTCCTCCTCCTCCTCCCTCCTCCTCCTCCTCCTCACTCCTCCTCCTCCTCCTCCTCCTCCTCCTCCCTCCCGCCTCCTCCCTCCTCCTCCTCCTCCTCCTCCTCCTCCTCCTTCCTCCTCCTCCTCCTCCTCCTCCTCCTCCTCCTCCTCCTCCTACGCCGCCTCTCCTCCTCTCCTCCTCCTCCCTCTGTCCTCCCCTCCTCCTCCTCCGCCGCCTCCTCCTCCTCCTCCTCCTGCTGCTGCTCCTCCTCCTCCTCCTCCTCCTCCCTCCTCCTCCTCCTCCTCCTCCTCCTCCTCCTCCTCCTCTCATCATCATCATCATCACATCTCATCTCATCATCATCATCATCATCATCATCATCATCATCATCATCATCAGCATCATCATCATCATCATCATCAGCATCATCATCATCACCATCATCATCAAATTCCTCACCATCATCATCATCATCATCAGCATCGTCATCATCATGTTCAGCAGCACCAGCAGCATCATCACCATCATCAGCATCATCATCAAAATCAGCATCATCAGCAGCAGCATCAGCAGCATCATCATGATCATCAGCATCATGATGATCAGCAATATCATCATCATCATCATCATCAGCATCATCATCATCATCATCATCAGCATCATCATCATCAGCATCATCATCATCATCCTCAACATCATCATAAACATCATCAGGAATATCATCATCGCTCCATCATCATAATCATCAGCAGCATTAGCATCGTCAACATCATCATAACAATCATCAGCACCATCATCATGATCATGATCGTTATCATCGTCATCAGCATCAGCATCATCATGATCTTCAACATCATCATCAACAGCATCATCGCCATCGTCGCTAACATAATCAGAATCAGAATCATCAGCTTCGTCATCATCGTCATCATCGTCATCATGCTCAGCATCACGACCACCATCGCCACCATCATCATCAACAGCATCGTCATCATCATAAACATCATCAGCATCGTCTGCATCAATATCATCATCAGCATCAACATCCTCATCATCATCCTCATCATCATCGTTATCATGCTCATCATCATCTACAAAAAGTAATCATCATCAGCAGCAGCAGCATCATCATCTCAATCCTCACCCACATGATCATCCTCATCATTATCAGCAGCATCAGCAGCAGCATCATCATCATCATCAACATCAACAGCATCGTCATAATCAGCATCATCATCCTCATCCTCCTCATCCGCAAGCTCATCCTCATCCGCACCCTCATCCTCAGCCTCAGCCTCATCCTCCTCGTCCTTCTTCTCCTCCTCGTACCTCCTCATCCTATTCCTCCTCCTCGTCCTCCTCCTCGTCCTCTTTCCTCCTCTTTCCTTCTCCTCCTCCTCCTCCGCCTCCTCGTCCTTCTCCTCCTCCTCCTCCTCCTCCTCCTCCTCCTCCTCCTCCTCCTC